GGGAGCCCTGTAGGAAGAAAAAATATGGAAAGGGGGAACCAGCAGTTAGCATAATGGCTATGTCGCTGGACTCCCACATAGTCGCGTCCCGTACCCGGTGGCTTAAAACTCACACTGGGCGCGTGTGCGTGCGTGCCCAAGATTCTGAGAGGAGAATGGAGGAGAAGGGATTGCAGCATGGCCACCCCCCTGGGGCGTGATGTCTCACTTTCTGTCTCTCAGTCTCTCTCTGTCTGTCTAGCGAACGCACGCGCCCTATAGCAAAAACCTCTCAAAAGAAAAAAAAATATGGAAAGGCTTTTGTTATCACAGACCTTACCATGCTGGAAAATACCAAGCAGAGAACTACTGTTGTGTGAGAAAACCTTTAATCCTCCTTATTATGGTCGAAGCCATGAAAGAGAACATGGAGGGTATCCTTTAGAGATGAAGCAGTGTACATAAGTCTGAAATGTAAGTCATATTCATAGAGTCTTGGACTGTAATTTAATTAGATTGCTTGAGAATATACATCCTTAAAAGAAATGTTACACAATGGAGGAGAAGGGATTGCGATGTGGCCATTTCCCCTGGGGGATGATGTCTCGCTTTCTGTCTCTGGCGAGCAGATATGCCTTATAGCGAAAACCTCTCCAAAAAAAAAGAAGAAGAAGAAGAAAAATGGTATACAAGTTGAAAATAAGCATGTTGTCTTTTATTAGCCCCGTCTTTTTTTTGAGAGAGAGATTTTTTTGCTACAGGGTGCATGCACTCACTGGGGAGTCAAACAGCAAGAAATTACCCTCCCCCCTACAGGACGTTGGCCATGCCACAATCTCTTCCTCATTTTCCTCTCAGGATTTTTGGCACATATACACATGTACCCGGTGTGAGTTTTAAGCCACGAAGTCCTGAACTCAAACCATGCCAACAGCGTAACCATCAATGCCATCTTCTGGTCCCCTTCTACTAGGTCTTAAGATGGATTTCCAGACTGGATTTCTAATTCTTGAAACATTGAAGTGACATAATTCTGTCTGTAATGTGCTGTGTAATCAATAATGAGTTGAGTGAATGGTATTATTAGGTAACTTAAAAAATTTTCCAATCTACAGCATATTTGCATGAGTGATTTGTAATAAATTTATAGTATGTAAACACTTCCCTATAATGTGTTTTTGTTTATAGTTTTTGATTTGCTCCTTTGAAAAATTAGGTTTCATTGGGAACCAGCAGTTAGCATAATGGCTATGTCGCTGGATTCCCATGTAGTTGACCGCGGTTTGCGTCCTGGACCCGGTGGCTTAAAACTTACGCTGGGTGCGTGTGCATGTGTGCCCAAGATCCCGAGAGGAGAATGGAGGAGAAGGGATTGCAGTGTGACCATCCCCCTGGGAGGTGATTTCTCGCTTTCTGTCTCTATGTCTCTCTCTGTCTGGTGAGCGCACGTGCCCTATAGCAAAAACCTCTCAAAAAAAATTAGATTTCATTAATGCAGGGAATTTTCTTGCCTTATGTGATGGAGTTAATTTAAATTTTTAAATTTTTTTATAGTTCTTTTTATCGACATTGGCAAATTAAAATAGAATAAATTAACAAGTATTACTCAAATGCATAGTTTAAAAAACGAAGCAAGATAGCAGTTTGTGCAGTAATATCTGCCCTTCAAAGTTCATGCAACCAACTAATGCAATTTTTCCTTTCACTCATAAATCCAAATGCAGTTCAGTCATTTGAAACCATCTACAAAATCCACAAGATTAAGCAGTTTGCCAAGATTAATATCTAACAGTTGAGCACTGGAGAAAGTGAGAAAATAAGGAGTAAAAACAAACAACAAAAAGGACCAAGTTAGTTAGATAATTCAACTACTTAAGGGAGGTGAATGTCAAGGCTACAAAAACGAAACAAAAACAGGAAAAAGAAGTGGCAGCAATTTAAAAAAAATTTTTTTTACAAGTTTTTAGTTTACTTTTGTTTCCATGTTCTCAAACCTTTCAAAATCTTAAAAGTGAGATACTGTGTCTAAGGGAATGTTTTTTAATTCACATCGAGGAAGTTGGGGGGTTGATTTCTCTCGACGGGGTTTCCATCAAGTCAACAACTTACTCTGTTGTGCTGCTGTTTGCACACGAAATCTGTCATAAAATCAAACTCGTTTGGGACCAGCAGTTAGCGTAATGGCTATGTCGCTGGACTCCAATGTAGTTGACCGCAGTTCACATCCCAGACCCTGTGACTTAAAACTCACACTGGGAGCGTGTGCATGCATGCCCAAGATCCTGAGAGGAGAATGGAGGAGAAGGGATTGCGGTGTGGCCATCCGCCCTGGGGGATGATTTCTCGCTTTCTATCTCTCTGTCTCTCTCTGTCTGTCTGGTGAGCGCACGCGCCCTATAGCAAAAACCTCTAAAAAAACAAAAGATTAGCTTTCCCTCAAGAAGAAAACTTTAGACCTCTGAAAAGGATTACAACACTAAGAGAGGGCGGAAAAGTATTTATTTATTTAAAAGCATTCAGAATGTCAACAAAACCTCTGCAACTTTTGTTTTGTTTTGTTTTTGCAATTATAGAGTGCTATTCATTTTACAGAACAATTATTTCATATAAGCTACATCAAAGACAACTGAAGATTAAAAAAAAACTACTAGCCCATATATAACTAATTTATGCTTCACACCAATGAGAACCTGCTTTAAATTTCCATGCTAATTTTTTTTTATTTTTTAAAATTTTTTTGGGAGTTTTTTTTTTTTTTTTTTTTTTTTGCTATAGGGCGTATGCACTCACCAGAAAGACAGAGCAAGACACAGACACAGAAAGCAAGAAATCATCCCCCCAAGGGGGATGGCTTCACCACAATCCCTTCTCTATCCTCCTCTCGGGATGTTGGACACTCATGCACATGCGCCCAGCGTGAGTTTAAGCCACCAGGTCCAGGACTCGAACCGCAGTCAACTACATGAGAGTCCAGCAACATAGCCATTATGCTAACTGCTGGTCCCACTAATTTAAAAGCCCCATACTATACCAGGTAAGGTTAGTTGCTATTGAAAATAGTACCTGGATACGGCTATCTAAAAACATGTTCAGTAGTGTGTTAACTATACAAAAAAAGAAACTGCACAGTTTGGAAACAAGTTGTATACAGCCTTATATTTCAATTTATTTCTTTGAAAGAGGTGAGTTGTGTACAAGTGGGTTAAACACTTTATAGACAAGGGAAAAAACTGCTAGAACCAACTTGTTCATCATCATCATCATCTTCATCTTTCTGCTCTTCCTCATCTTCTTCATCTTCCTCCTCCTTTTTCTTGCTCTTTTCAGACTTGACAATTCCCTTTTTTACTGCATCAGGCTTTTGGGTAACTTGCTATGCAGCAATATCTTTTTCATATTTTTCCTTCAGCTTAGCAGCCTTCTCTTCATAAGGCTGTTTATCACTTGCAACAGTGTTATTCCACATCTTTCCCAGTTTCTTTGCAACCTCACCCATGGATAGGCCAAGATGTTCTCCTTTGATTTGGGGACATTCAGAACAGAACAAGAAAAAGACAGAAGGAAGAATCTTGGGTGCATTAGGATCCTTGAACTTCTTTTTTGTTTCTCCTTTAGAAGGAATATAGGTTTTCATTTCTCTTTCATAACAGGCTTTGTTTGCCATTACCGTATCTTCAAACTTCCCTACTCTTTGGCAGACATGGTCCTCAAACTCTGAGCACTTCTTAGAAACTTCTGAGACATGGGGCTGGCAGGTGGTGTGGTATTAAGGGTACTGGACTCCCACATGGCTGACCGTGGTTCAAGTACTGGACCTGGCAACTTGCCTTCTCACTTTCCATCTCTTTCTCTTTATCTCTCACTGTTTCGCTCCTTCTCACTTTTCATCTCTTTCTCTCTCTTTATCTCTCTCTTTTTCGCTCTCACTCTGTCCCTCTCTGGTCATATTAAAAGAAAGTAAGAATAAAATAATTATTTAAAGAATTATTTTTTATTTAACTATATTTATTTTAATTTCACCATAGAGGGACAGTGAGAAAGTGAGAGAGAAAGAGAGAGAGGAAAAGTAAGAAAGCAGGCCTCTGGATGCTTGAACCACAGTTGACCATGTGGGACTCCAGTGCCCTTTAACCACCACGCCATCTTCCAGCGTCAAAATAAAGTAATTCTTAAAAATCAAAACAAAAAACAAACACCTGAGAGGTTGACCAAAACATCTGAGTGCTTCTTGTGCTCCTTCCAGCAAGTTTGCACAAATAACGCATATGATGACATTTTGCCTCTTGGCTTCATAGAATCTCCTTCATCTATGTTTAGTTATCTTTCCTCCCTGAGACACAGAGTTGACCAGTGCTGTCTGGCTCAATATACTGCAATGAAGCCGGTATGCTTTTTTAAAGAATCATTTTACTTAAATTTATTTATTTGTTTATATATGACCAGAGAGGGATGGGGAGCTGGTAAAGTAAGCTGCCAGGTCTGGGAATCAAACCGCTGCAGGCCATGTAAGAGTCCAGCGCCCTTAACCACTATGCCACCTGCTGTTCTGAAGGCGGTATTTTTATCTCCAAATTTACGATCGCTGGAAAGCATGCGTTTCTTTAACCTGTTCCAGTGTAGCCTGGCCTCGAAGTCCCTAACACATTTCAGGCCAGGGGATCCTCCTATTGGACACATACTCTGTAATTCCCAGAGCTCACTTTCATCCCCGTGTCGGAGAGAAAAAAAGCCATCACCGTCCCATTGCGTGCAGAAAGATACGGGCGCGTCTGCTCTGAAAACCCAGGAGCAGGTTCTGCTGAAATGTAATTAAAGGCCACGGGCAGGTCAAGAAGCTGCCATTCCAGTCTAGCGCTGCACATCTCTGAACGCTTGTGCTGTCATTTAACCCTGATGGGGCGTGGCCTGAAGTGGTGCCAATCAGGGGTGGAAGGGCGGGGCTTAGCGTACCAGCCAATCAGCTCTAGTTTCTATCGGAGGCGGGGACATTGAAATCTCGCGAGGTCTCTGCCTCACTGGTGTCCTTCCGGGATTGTGGGGTTCTTTTCATCTGCATGGAGTCCTCGTGTCCTTTGCGGCTGCTTTGAGGCTCTGTGACGTGCCAGACAGGGACAGGGACCCGTAGGAAGGACGCGGGGACCCCCTAGAAGCTGAGATATGGTGAGTGCGGGGCCGGGTCCCGAGACGGGGAGCAGGGGCGTTGGGGACCGTCCACGCTCGCCTCTGCGCCCCGAGTCTTCCGCCGGCGCAACTCGGTCCTCGTCCCCTCGGGGCAGGGATGGGTGGGCAGCGGGACCCCGGGCGTCCTGTCCCGTCCCTGCGCGACCTGGGCCTCGGGCCTTCACCCTCTTACAGCTCGGCCCCCGCAGCCCCGCGTGTCCCCGGATGTGGGTGAGGACGGGATGGTCACGTGGGGCCCCCCTTGTGCCCACAGTCGCCCATATTCTCCTGAATTTCCCCAAGTGTGGGCGTCGCGGGGTCAAGTCTACAACCCGGTCCCCTCCTTATGCCCGCACCCTCAGAATATGCCGTGAGGAGAAAAACAGTTTAGTGGGGATTCGCTTAGGTGGGTGATTTGTGACATGCCCTGCCTCTGTCGCGCTCACTTGCCCCACCTAAAATAATTTTTTTGAGAGGTTTTTGCTATAGGGTGCATGCGCTTGCCAGACAGACAGAGAGAGACAGACAGAAAGCGAGAAATCCCCCCCCCCAGGGGGGATGGCCACGCCACAATCCCTTCTCCTCCATTCTCCTCTCGGGATCTTGGGCTCGCACGCACACGCACCTGGCGTGAGTTCAAGCTACTGGGTCCGGGACTCGAACTGTAATCTATTCCATGAGAGTCCAGCGACATAGCCATTATGTCAACTGCTGGGCCCAGGTTACCGGGTTTTGACACCAAGATTAAAATGGATGAGGGAGTATTTAGGAATGATCTAAGACATCAGCAGTACCCCTAAGTCATGGTTACAGTGCTGTTTGGAAAGCGAATTTAGGCCTGGCAGCCAAGGGGAAGGCAGTAACAGCACTGCTGGATAATGCTGTACCAATCTGGTAAGGGTCTAGGATAATACCTAAGGGCTACCTGAACCAGCAAACTCACACCAGGTGCCTGTGCCTGTGTACCCAAGATTCAGAGAAGAGAAGGGATTGCGGAGTGGCCATCCCCCCTGGAGGGTGATTTCTTGCTTTCTGTCTCTCTCTCTTTCTGGCAAGTGCATGAGCCCTATAGCAAAACAACGAAAATAAACTCTCCAAAAAAAAAAAAAAAGTGTTTTTTGGGACCAGCAGTAGGCATAATGGCTATTTCGCCAGACTCCCATATAGTTTGGACTGGCGGCTTAAACTCACGCCGAAAATGTGTGCACATGTGCACAAGATCCTGAGAGGAGAATGGAGGAGGAGGGAATGCAGTGGAGGAGAAGGGATTGCAGTGTGGCCATCCCCTCTAGGGGGTGATTTCTCACTTTCTGTCTCTCTGTCTCCCTGAGACAACACACATACACACACACACACACACACCTGAGGCCGGTCACACTGCAATCCCTTCTCATTCTCCCAGCATGAGTTTAAGCCACTGGGTCTGGGAATCAAACCATGGTCGACTAAATGCTTGACTACATAACAATTACGCCATCTGCTGATTCCACTTTTTTCTTTTTTCAGTTCTTTGCCATGAGGCAAGGGCTCTTGCTAGGAAGAGATAGTGAAAGGGAAATTGAGAAACCTCCCCCAGGGAATATGGCCAAACCCCATTCCTTCTCTTCCATTCTCCTCTTGGGATTTTGGGCATGCAACCACATAGGTCTGGTATAGTTTTCAAGCTGAGGGTCTTGGACTTGAATTATGCTTGGCTGTCTGGGAGTCCATCACCCTAACCATATTGCCACCTGCTGTCCTGAAAAAAAAGTTGTCTAAAGTAAAAATACGAAAGTAAGAAACGAGTTTTGGTTGAGAGTCCCTTTTGTCAGACCTTCAGAGAGCTCTTAGACACAATGAAACCTACAAACAATAATTTGCAAGTAAAACCTGTTCTAATCTCTCAAAAGAGTGACATTATTTGTATACTGGAATTTAAGACTTGTATCATTAAACTGCCACCTTGCCTATGAGAAAGTGTGACAAGAACAACTTTTTCATCATTTTCACATTCTTTTTTCTCGACTTTATATTGAATAGGAAAAGGAAAACCTCAATTTATCTCATGTACTCTCATCACAATTGACAAGAAAAAGAGTTCTGTCACTTACATCACAGTTTGCCATCTATTTTTGATTATTTGGCAGAGCAACTCTCAAAACTCAGGGAAACATTGTTTACATTGGCTAGTTTATTATCATGGACAATACAGAGGATACACATAAAGAGACAGCTCCGTGCCCTCCTGAATGTGCTATTCCCTAGGAACCTCCATGTGTTAGGCTACGTGGAAACACTACATTCTGTTACTTCAAGTTTTCTTTTTTAAGAATTATTTATTTATTTGTTTTTTAATTTGAACAGAGAGAATGATAGAGAAAGTGAGAAAGCAAGACATCTGGTCTGGGACTTGAACCATGGTTGGCCATGTGGGAGTCCAGTGCCCTTAACCACAAAACCACTTGCCAGTCCCAGACCTTTTGATACAAAGTTCATAGTACGGGGACCAGCAGTTGGCGTAATGGCTATATCACTGGATTCCCATGTAGTCAACTGCAGTTCGAGTCCTGGACTCAGTGTCTTGAAACTCACACTGGGCGTGTGTGTGTCCAAGATATTGAGAGGAGAAAGGAGGAGAAGGAATTATGGCATGGCCATCCCCCCAGGGGGTGATTTCTCTCTTTCTGTCTCTCTATGTCTTCCTGTCTTTCTGGCACGTGCACACACCCTGTAGCAAAAACCTCTCCAAAAATAAAAAGTTCATAGCACGGCCATGATGGGACCATGGGTGACCTTGAAGAAATGAGATAGGGCTAATGGGTATGCTGTCATGTTATAAGTTTGCTCTTCCTGTCCAGCATCACTTCCTCCTGTATATGTAGCAGGATCCATCTGTTATGAGGGACTTAAAGTTAAGGGAAGATGAGAGTTCCTGGAGCCCACCTGAGAGCTGCTTTTCATCAGAAGATGGTCAGCCAGAATATAGAATCACTTGGAAAACTCAATCAAACCCCCAAAGGAAGAAAGCGAAACAAAAAATAAAAACAGAACCATTAGAAGGGTGCTTTTTCAGGGTTAAGACACGTGTTTCTAAATATTCTCTTTTCTTTTCTTAAAGAATTATTTTATTTAACTTTATCCATTTCTCTTTTTCTTTTAATCTGACCAGAGAGAGATAGAGTGAGAGAGAGAGCAAAGAAAAAGTGAGAAAGAAGCCGCCAGGTCAAGAACTCAAACCACTGTCGGCCATGTGGGAGTTTAACGCCCTTAACCACCACACCACCTGATGGCCCCATCCTTCCATAGAGAGTTGGTGGTAGTAAAGCAGATTAATAATATCCCTCCAATTGGACTCTCAGTTTTATTTTACTAATGTAAATGGTTAATATTTTGTACCTTCTCTAAGTGTAGATGTACAATAAATTCTCTGGAAAGAGATTGCTGGAATGAAATTTGTAGGAACGTACCAGAAATACAAATAAGGTGTGTCAGTGAACCCTCACGATACATGTGTGTAACTATGTTTGCTGTGGTCAAGGACGCTTGCAATCCTCTAATTGACTAATTTTTGCCCTGGAATCTGTGAAATACCTGCTTCATTCCTTTATCCTTTGCCCATTAACCTTTTTATATTTGGAATATTGATATCCTTTTTCACTTTCGTTACTTATTATCTTTCTTTAAGAGAGATTTTTGCTATGTGGCTCATGCACTCTGCATACAGACAGAAAGCAACAAATTACCAACCAGGGAGGATGGACACACCACGTACCTTCTCATATATTCTCCTCTTGGGATTTTGGGCACCAACTCACATGCTCATGTTAAAGCTGCCTTGCCAAGGATATGAGTGAGTGTCGCTCATGTGGGAGTCCAGAGATGTTACTGTCACCTTCTACTACTCCCTACTTTATTTTTTATCTTCCTTCCTGAGTTTCCATGTATTTTAATTTGCCAATCCTATTTTTCATGGCTTGCTCTTTTTTACATAACAGGATTTTCTCAATTTTTACATGAAAAATGCACTTACATGTGTCTCCTCAAATGTTTTACATTGTTCTTCAAATGTTCACTTGTTTTCTTTTTGCAATAGCATGTGTGCATTCACCAGGTCAGAGAGAGAGTAGAGAAAAGTCAATCACCATGGAATATAGCATAACATAATCTTTTTTTCCTTCACTCTCCTCTTGAGAATTTGGGTGCCTATGCTGGGTGCTAATTTTTATTTTCAAGCCACTCTTTGATGGACTCAAACCACAGAACTCACTATGTGGTTTTCAACACTTTACTATCTACATCTCCTGCCTGGTCAAAGTGTTGACCTTTCTTAGGTACAAGAGACCTAATAAGCGCCTGTTTCTTTTTTTTTTTTTTTTAAATCTAACTTATGTATTTATTTAGCATGTATGAATGTATTTATTCATTTATTTTAATTGGACCAGAGTGGAACAGAGCGAGAGAGACAGGGAAAGTGAGAAAATTAGCCATCGTGTCCAGGACATGAACCACAGTTGGGCCTGTGGGAATCCAGTGCCCTTAACCAAGACTCCCCTTGTGGGCTCCGTACACCTATTTCTTTCTTTCTTTTTTTTTTTTGGAGAGGTTTTTTGCTATAGGGTGCATGTGCTCACCAGACAGACAGAGGGAGACAGAGAGACAGAGAGCAGAAAATCACCCCCCAGGGTGGATGGCCACGCCGCAATCCCTTCTCCTCCATTCTCCTCTTGGGATTTTGGGCATGCATGCACACGCACCCGGCGTGAGTTTAAGCCACCGGGTCCAGGACTCGAACCACGGTCGACTATGGGGGAGTCCAGTGACATAGCCATTACGCTAACTGCTGGTCCCGACCTATTTCTTAATATAAACAATAATGATATCATCCACTACGCTAGTTGGTAGGACTTTGGTATAACAGGTATTACAGATATTATGCACCAAGAGACATTTGGGTTGATCCTGGTAGCATATCTCAACTATGAAGCCTACAAAGTGGGTCTTATATTTTGATGTTCCTTAACTTAATATATCAGTTTCACTGTGAATTCTTTTGGGTTTTCAGAATCTGGCAATCTAATTTTTTTTTTTTTATTTTGTATTTGTAACATAGGACATGTGCACAACTCAGAGAGACAGAGAGGGAAATAAAGTGAGAAATCATGCCACAGGGAAGTGACCACACCTCAATTGCTTTACCTAAATTTTCCTCCTGGAATTTGGGCACAACCTGCAGGTTTTTCAAGTTGCTAGGATAGGCACATGAACCACAGTCAGCCATTTGGAATCTTTTACTTTAACCACTACACCACCTGCTGGCCCTAGTTTAGTGTTATAAATGTTATGTGTATGGAAGTGATTTTACACAGAGATAAAGAATTCTGATGACTAGCATATTAAAAAAAAAAAGAATGGAATAAACAGCATTCTGTGAACGTCTTACAATTGAGTATATCTAACCAGTGCTGTCATTCTCGGCCATCCTCCTATACACATACGTGGGATTTTGCAGGACCCAGTGGCCTTTGAGGATGTGCTTATGAATTTCACAAAGGAGGAGTGGGCTTTGCTAGATCCTTCACAGAAGAAACTACAGAGATGTGATGTGAGAAACTCTCAAGAACCTGGACTCTGCTGGTAAGGATGACAGCACTCCCTCACTTACTTAATTTTTCTTTTCTTTTCTTTTTTTTTGGAGAGGTTTTTGCTATAGGGCATGTGCACTTGCCAGAAAGCAAGAAATCCCACCCCCCCCCCAGGGAAGATGGCCATGCCACAGTCCCTTCTCTTCCATTCTCCTCTCAGAATCTTGGGCATGCACCCACACATGCCTGGTGAAACTTTAAGCCACTGGGTCTGGGACTTGAACAATGGTGATCTACATGGGAATCCAGTGACATAACCATTATGCAACTGCTGGTCCCAGAACAAGTATTTTCTTTTTTCTCTTTTTTGGAGAGATTTTCACTTTAGGGTGCGTGCGCTTGCCAGACAGACAGAGACATAGAGACAGAAAGCGAGAAATCACCCCCCAGGGAGGATGGTCACGCCACAATCCCTTCTCCTCCATTCTCCTCTCAGGATCTTGGGCATGTACGCACACATGCCCGGCGTGAGTTTTAAGCCACCAGGTCCGGGACGCGAACTGCGGTCGACTACGTGGGAGTCCAGTGACATAGCCATTATACTAACTGCTGGTTCCCAACAAGTATTTTTCTAATCACCCATGCTTTTCCAAAGTTTTTGGTAAAGAAAAGGGAGTTGTTTTGTGAACAAATCAGACAGGGTCATGGTTTGTCTTGATCCTGAAATCTAAGTTATATAGTACATTTGTAATAATTCCAAGATGTTTGTGGGTCTCTATTTCAGGAATAAACTTGGGAGAGCAGAATATTGCAGATCAGTACCAAAACCCCAAGAAACAGCTAAGGTAATTTGTACTGACAACAGAAGCAATATCCTTTTGGAAGTCTGTCATGAAATTTTACACACAGAAAAAAAGACCCTAGATTCTGGCATATTTATTGCTGTAAAATTTTTCCAAAAGTATGTGCTGCAATATAACATAAAGATATTTTGATTACAAAACAGTTTATATGAAAATAGTATTTAAAAACTGCATTTAGAGCTTGCCATGGTTTGCTGGTTAAGGCAGCTGGATCTTACATGAATGAGTTCATGGTTCCTTTCTCAAACCTGATTGTATAAAAATATACTGGGTGTCTGGATTTGCATGCCCAAAACTAGAGAGTATAATGGGAGAAGATTGAATCTATTTGTCCATCTCCTAGGGGGTAATTTATTACTTTTTCTCTTTATCTCCAGAAAGCACACATGCCCTCTTGTAAAACTACTTGGTAACTTTTTGTAGAATACGTTGGCGTAATGGCTATGTCACTGAACTCCCAGGTAGTTTGGACTGGCGGCTTAAACTCACGCCGAAAATGTGTGCACATGTGCACAAGATCCTGAGAGGAGAATGGAGGAGAAGGGATTGCAGTGTGGCCATCCCCTCTAGGGGGTGATTTCTCACTTTCTGTCTCTCTGTCTCCCTGAGACAGAAAGCGAGAACACACACACACACACACCTGAGGCCGGTCACACTGCAATCCCTTCTCATTCTCCCAGCATGAGTTTAAGCCACTGGGTCTGGGAATCAAACCATGGTCGACTAAATGCTTGACTACATAACAATTACGCCATCTGCTGATTCCACTTTTTTCTTTTTTCAGTTCTTTGCCATGAGGCAAGGGCTCTTGCTAGGAAGAGATAGTGAAAGGGAAATTGAGAAACCTCCCCCAGGGAATATGGCCAAACCCCATTCCTTCTCTTCCATTCTCCTCTTGGGATTTTGGGCATGCAACCACATAGGTCTGGTATAGTTTTCAAGCTGAGGGTCTTGGACTTGAATTATGCTTGGCTGTCTGGGAGTCCATCACCCTAACCATATTGCCACCTGCTGTCCTGAAAAAAAAGTTGTCTAAAGTAAAAATACGAAAGTAAGAAACGAGTTTTGGTTGAGAGTCCCTTTTGTCAGACCTTCAGAGAGCTCTTAGACACAATGAAACCTACAAACAATAATTTGCAAGTAAAACCTGTTCTAATCTCTCAAAAGAGTGACATTATTTGTATACTGGAATTTAAGACTTGTATCATTAAACTGCCACCTTGCCTATGAGAAAGTGTGACAAGAACAACTTTTTCATCATTTTCACATTCTTTTTTCTCGACTTTATATTGAATAGGAAAAGGAAAACCTCAATTTATCTTATGTACTCTCATCACAATCGACAAGAAAAAGAGTTCTGTCTCTTACATTACAGTTTGCCGTCTATTTTTGATTATTTGGCAGAGCAACTCTCAAAACTCAGGGAAACATTGTTTACATTGGCTAGTTTATTATCATGGACAATACAGAGGATACACATAAAGAGACAGCTCCGTGCCCTCCTGAATGTGCTATTCCCTAGGAACCTCCATGTGTTAGGCTACGTGGAAACACTACATTCTGTTACTTCAAGTTTTCTTTTTTAAGAATTATTTATTTATTTGTTTTTTAATTTGAACAGAGAGAATGATAGAGAAAGTGAGAAAGCAAGACATCTGGTCTGGGACTTGAACCATGGTTGGCCATGTGGGAGTCCAGTGCCCTTAACCACAAAACCACTTGCCAGTCCCAGACCTTTTGATACAAAGTTCATAGTACGGGGACCAGCAGTTGGCGTAATGGCTATATCACTGGATTCCCATGTAGTCAACTGCAGTTCGAGTCCTGGACTCAGTGTCTTGAAACTCACACTGGGCGTGTGTGTGTCCAAGATATTGAGAGGAGAAAGGAGGAGAAGGAATTATGGCATGGCCATCCCCCCAGGGGGTGATTTCTCTCTTTCTGTCTCTCTATGTCTCCCTGTCTTTCTGGCACGTGCACACACCCTGTAGCAAAAACCTCTCCAAAAATAAAAAGTTCATAGCACGGCCATGATGGGACCATGGGTGACCTTGAAGAAATGAGATAGGGCTAATGGGTATGCTGTCATGTTATAAGTTTGCTCTTCCTGTCCAGCATCACTTCCTCCTGTATATGTAGCAGGATCCATCTGTTATGAGGGACTTAAAGTTAAGGGAAGATGAGAGTTCCTGGAGCCCACCTGAGAGCTGCTTTTCATCAGAAGATGGTCAGCCAGAATATAGAATCACTTGGAAAACTCAATCAAACCCCCAAAGGAAGAAAGCGAAACAAAAAATAAAAACAGAACCATTAGAAGGGTGCTTTTTCAGGGTTAAGACACGTGTTTCTAAATATTCTCTTTTCTTTTCTTAAAGAATTATTTTATTTAACTTTATCCATTTCTCTTTTTCTTTTAATCTGACCAGAGAGAGATAGAGTGAGAGAGAGAGCAAAGAAAAAGTGAGAAAGAAGCCGCCAGGTCAAGAACTCAAACCACTGTCGGCCATGTGGGAGTTTAACGCCCTTAACCACCACACCACCTGATGGCCCCATCCTTCCATAGAGAGTTGGTGGTAGTAAAGCAGATTAATAATATCCCTCCAATTGGACTCTCAGTTTTATTTTACTAATGTAAATGGTTAATATTTTGTACCTTCTCTAAGTGTAGATGTACAATAAATTCTCTGGAAAGAGATTGCTGGAATGAAATTTGTAGGAACGTACCAGAAATACAAATAAGGTGTGTCAGTGAACCCTCACGATACATGTGTGTAACTATGTTTGCTGTGGTCAAGGACGCTTGCAATCCTCTAATTGACTAATTTTTGCCCTGGAATCTGTGAAATACCTGCTTCATTCCTTTATCCTTTGCCCATTAACCTTTTTATATTTGGAATATTGATATCCTTTTTCACTTTCGTTACTTATTATCTTTCTTTAAGAGAGATTTTTGCTATGTGGCTCATGCACTCTGCATACAGACAGAAAGCAACAAATTACCAACCAGGGAGGATGGACACACCACGTACCTTCTCATATATTCTCCTCTTGGGATTTTGGGCACCAACTCACATGCTCATGTTAAAGCTGCCTTGCCAAGGATATGAGTGAGTGTCGCTCATGTGGGAGTCCAGAGATGTTACTGTCACCTTCTACTACTCCCTACTTTATTTTTTATCTTCCTTCCTGAGTTTCCATGTATTTTAATTTGCCAATCCTATTTTTCATGGCTTGCTCTTTTTTACATAACAGGATTTTCTCAATTTTTACATGAAAAATGCACTTACATGTGTCTCCTCAAATGTTTTACATTGTTCTTCAAATGTTCACTTGTTTTCTTTTTGCAATAGCATGTGTGCATTCACCAGGTCAGAGAGAGAGTAGAGAAAAGTCAATCACCATGGAATATAGCATAACATAATCTTTTTTTCCTTCACTCTCCTCTTGAGAATTTGGGTGCCTATGCTGGGTGCTAATTTTTATTTTCAAGCCACTCTTTGATGGACTCAAACCACAGAACTCACTATGTGGTTTTCAACACTTTACTATCTACATCTCCTGCCTGGTCAAAGTGTTGACCTTTCTTAGGTACAAGAGACCTAATAAGCGCCTGTTTCTTTTTTTTTTTTTTTTTAAATCTAACTTATGTATTTATTTAGCATGTATGAATGTATTTATTCATTTATTTTAATTGGACCAGAGTGGAACAGAGCGAGAGAGACAGGGAAAGTGAGAAAATTAGCCATCGTGTCCAGGACATGAACCACAGTTGGGCCTGTGGGAATCCAGTGCCCTTAACCAAGACTCCCCTTGTGGGCTCCGTACACCTATTTCTTTCTTTCTTTTTTTTTTTTGGAGAGGTTTTTTGCTATAGGGTGCATGTGCTCACCAGACAGACAGAGGGAGACAGAGAGACAGAAAGCAGAAAATCACCCCCCAGGGTGGATGGCCACGCCGCAATCCCTTCTCCTCCATTCTCCTCTTGGGATTTTGGGCATGCATGCACACGCACCCGGCGTGAGTTTAAGCCACCGGGTCCAGGACTCGAACCACGGTCGACTATGTGGGAGTCCAGTGACATAGCCATTACGCTAACTGCTGGTCCCGACCTATTTCTTAATATAAACAATAATGATATCATCCACTACGCTAGTTGGTAGGACTTTGGTATAACAGGTATTACAGATATTATGCACCAAGAGACATTTGGGTTGATCCTGGTAGCATATCTCAACTATGAAGGCTACAAAGTGGGTCTTATATTTTGATGTTCCTTAACTTAATATATCAGTTTCACTGTGAATTCTTTTGGGTTTTCAGAATCTGGCAATCTAATTTTTTTTTTTTTATTTTGTATTTGTAACATAGGACATGTGCACAACTCAGAGAGACAGAGAGGGAAATAAAGTGAGAAATCATGCCACAGGGAAGTGACCACACCTCAATTGCTTTACCTAAATTTTCCTCCTGGAATTTGGGCACAACCTGCAGGTTTTTCAAGTTGCTAGGATAGGCACATGAACCACAGTCAGCCATTTGGAATCTTTTACTTTAACCACTACACCACCTGCTGGCCCTAGTTTAGTGTTATAAATGTTATGTGTATGGAAGTGATTTTACACAGAGATAAAGAATTCTGATGACTAGCATATTAAAAAAAAAAAGAATGGAATAAACAGCATTCTGTGAACGTCTTACAATTGAGTATATCTAACCAGTGCTGTCATTCTCGGCCATCCTCCTATACACATACGTGGGATTTTGCAGGACCCAGTGGCCTTTGAGGATGTGCTTATGAATTTCACAAAGGAGGAGTGGGCTTTGCTAGATCCTTCACAGAAGAAACTACAGAGATGTGATGTGAGAAACTCTCAAGAACCTGGACTCTGCTGGTAAGGATGACAGCACTCCCTCACTTACTTAATTTTTCTTTTCTTTTCTTTTTTTTTGGAGAGGTTTTTGCTATAGGGCATGTGCACTTGCCAGAAAGCAAGAAATCACACCCCCCCCCCAGGGAAGATGGCCATGCCACAGTCCCTTCTCTTCCATTCTCCTCTCAGAATCTTGGGCATGCACCCACACATGCCTGGTGAAACTTTAAGCCACTGGGTCTGGGACTTGAACAATGGTGATCTACATGGGAATCCAGTGACATAACCATTATGCAACTGCTGGTCCCAGAACAAGTATTTTCTTTTTTCTCTTTTTTGGAGAGATTTTCACTTTAGGGTGCGTGCGCTTGCCAGACAGACAGAGACATAGAGACAGAAAGCGAGAAATCACCCCCCAGGGAGGATGGTCACGCCACAATCCCTTCTCCTCCATTCTCCTCTCAGGATCTTGGGCATGTACGCACACATGCCCGGCGTGAGTTTTAAGCCACCAGGTCCGGGACGCGAACTGCGGTCGACTACGTGGGAGTCCAGTGACATAGCCATTATACTAACTGCTGGTTCCCAACAAGTATTTTTCTAATCACCCATGCTTTTCCAAAGTTTTTGGTAAAGAAAAGGGAGTTGTTTTGTGAACAAATCAGACAGGGTCATGGTTTGTCTTGATCCTGAAATCTAAGTTATATAGTACATTTGTAATAATTCCAAGATGTTTGTGGGTCTCTATTTCAGGAATAAACTTGGGAGAGCAGAATATTGCAGATCAGTACCAAAACCCCAAGAAACAGCTAAGGTAATTTGTACTGACAACAGAAGCAATATCCTTTTGGAAGTCTGTCATGAAATTTTACACACAGAAAAAAAGACCCTAGATTCTGGCATATTTATTGCTGTAAAATTTTTCCAAAAGTATGTGCTGCAATATAACATAAAGATATTTTGATTACAAAACAGTTTATATGAAAATAGTATTTAAAAACTGCATTTAGAGCTTGCCATGGTTTGCTGGTTAAGGCAGCTGGATCTTACATGAATGAGTTCATGGTTCCTTTCTCAAACCTGATTGTATAAAAATATACTGGGTGTCTGGATTTGCATGCCCAAAACTAGAGAGTATAATGGGAGAAGATTGAATCTATTTGTCCATCTCCTAGGGGGTAATTTATTACTTTTTCTCTTTATCTCCAGAAAGCACACATGCCCTCTTGTAAAACTACTTGGTAACTTTTTGTAGAATACGTATAAAATCCTTCCTTGTTCAAACTGTTCAGTGTATTAACCCCTACATGTTGCATGATAAAGGTGCAAGAGATATTTAGTCCTTTTTGTTGTTGCTGTTGTTGCCTGTTTTTGCCATAGGACATGTGTGCTTGCCACAGAGAAGAGGGAGAAGGAAAGTGAAAAATCACCTCCAAAAAGGTGAAATCTACACCATAGCCCTGCTGCAACCTGCTCAGCAGAACGTGCTTTGTGTGTGTGTGTTCTGTGGGTTAGAAATAAACATATAGGGAACCAGCAGTTAGCGTAATGGCTATGTCGCTGGACTCCCACGTGGTCGACCGCGGTTCACGTCCCGGACCCGGTGGCTTAGAACTCACGCCAGGCGCATGTGCGTGCGTGCCCAAGATCCCGAGAGGAGAATGGAGGAGAAGGGATTGCGGCGTGACCATCCCCCCTGGGGGATGATTTCTCGCTTTCTGTCTCTATGTCTCTCTCTGTCTGTCTGGCGAGCGCACGTGCCCTTTAGTGAAAACCTCTCCAAAATAAATAAATAAATAAACATACAAATAAATACACAAAGACATACAAGTATAGAAAATGTAAGGATCAGGTGGCCCTGACTTCTCTGATGGGGAAAGCCATGACCCTGAACCGGTTTCAGGTTTATGATTTTATAGGGCAGAAAATGATGGGGGAAGCGGAAATGGGATACAAAGCTAGTTGTTTTCAGATGTTAATCGGCTGATGATATAAGTACAACTGGCACCATGTAATTGTTTTGATCTTTTGGGACTGATTCTGATAAACATATATGACTTCCTTTAAACTGATATTACTTTGAAGTATGGATTACAGCACACACCTAGCTTGTTCATATGTTGTTTTCATGGCCAAAACAACTGCTTACAAAACCTCATCTCTGCACATGTCTGCAGGTCACCATGTTTGTTCACACTATCTGTTCTCCACACAATCTTATATTTTTGATGTCCTCTCATGATTTGGGGCATGCATTAACATGCCCTCAGCTTGTTTTTCAAGCCATCAATCCAGGACTAAACTGTGCAGCATGTCATATGAAATCCAGCACCTTGCCCTCCATGCTACCAGCGGACCCCATTCAGTACTTATTTAATAAACAGGTATTAATCCTAAAATCCATAGTAATGTGCTTATCATTCTTTACAGAAGTCATATACCACAGAGACCATATGAACGAAAAGAAGGTACTTCATGTGGAGCAATCTTCAGTCCTATTCCAGACAAACACTTGAAGGAGAAAATGCCTACTGGACTTAAACTATTTAAGAGCAGTACATATGGGGAAGACATGGTTCATTCATTTCTCAATAAGCCTATTGGACCTCAAAGAGAGCAGAAATCTTATAACTGTCAGGAATATTCAAAGAATTCACATGACCACAAGCAAAATGGAAAAACCATCATTAGCCATGAAACTGAGGGAAGTGTCAAGATATCACATTGTGGAATTGGATCCTACAGATGCAAGATATGTTGGAAAACTTTTGATTATCACAATTTATTTCTATTACATGAAAACACACACACTGAAGAGAAGCCACGTGAATGTCCTGAGAATGCGAAAGGTTTTCGTCTTAACAGATGTGTTCATATCCACAAAAAAACTCACATAGGAGAGAAACCCTACAAGTGTAAGATATGTGAGAAAGCCTTTGCTTATTCCAGTTATTTACAAAACCATGAAAGAACTCACACAGGAGAGAAACCCTATGAGTGTACAGTATGTGGGAAAACCTTCTCTTATTTGCATCATGTTCGAAGGCATGAAAGGTCTCACACAGGAGAGAAACCCTATGAATGTACAGTATGTGGGAAAGCCTTCTCTTGTTCCTGTAATGTGCAAGATCATGAAAGGACTCATACTGGAGAGAAACCATGTGAATGCCCCCATTGTGGGAAATTCTTCAGTTCTCCAACATATGTTCATGTCCATGAAAGAATTCACCCAGAACAGAAACCCTTTGAGTATAAAGTATGTGCGAGAGCTTTCTCTCACTCCTCTTCGAATACATGAAAAGATTCACACTGGAGAGAAAGTGAAATCCTTTGAGTATAAAGTATGTGGGAGAACCTTCTCTCACTCCTCTTCAAATGCATGAAAAGATTCACACTGGAGAGAAACCTCGTGAATGTCCCCAGTGTGGGAAAGGTTTTTGTGATTCTCGACAAGCTTATATCCGCATACGAATTCACACAGGAGAGAAACTCTATGAGTGTAAGATTTGTGGGAAAGCCTTTGCTTATTCCAGTTCATTTTGAAAGCATGAAAGAATTCACAAAGGAGTGAAACCCTTTGATTGTAAGGTATGTGGGAAAGCCTTTTATCTGTCCTGTTGTCTTCAAGAACATGAAAGTACTCACAGTGGTTAGAAACCTTATGAACGTAAGCAATATGGAAAAGCCTATAAATCTTGCAAGTCTGTTCAAAGACATAAAATTACTCAAACCCTACGTGTGTAAAGTATATGGAAAAGCCTTTAGTTTTCTCAGTTCTCTTCCAAAACATGAAAGAATTTACCCTGGATAGAAACCTTAAGATTGTCCTCAATGTAGAAAAACCTTTTTCCCATTCTTCTGTTTGACAGCATGAATGGACTCACTAGAAAATAAACTTCAATGCATTCTATGTGGAAAAACCTTATTATGTTCATGTTCTATTCAAGAGCATGAACAGGAATCACACTGAAGAGTAGCCCTATGAATGTAAGAGATGTGGTAGGTAAGGCTTGAGTTCTTGTTCTGTTCAAGGACATGAAGTCACATTGGAGAGGAACCCTGTATGTGTACAGTATGTTGGAAGCCTCTTTCTGAAATATTCAAGAGCATAAAAGATGTCATCATGGCAAGCAACCCTATATGTGTATGAGATGTGGGAATGCCCTTTGTCCTCCCAGTTCTATTCAAAACCATGAAAGAACACACACTGCATAGAAATCTGATAAGCGTCTTCAATATGATAGAACCTTCTATAGGGAAAATGGAGTTAGAATGATTTTGTCAAAAAATTTTTAAAGAATGATTTGGTCAGTCTCCTTCACTCCCTTTCTCATGTCTTCTGGCCATAGAATAAACTTTATTCTTTGGAGTGTGCTTGCATGCTTTTTATGTAATGATTTTGCTGTTTTATGCCATTTCATGTAATGCATATGTCAGTGAGCCACTTTCATTTTTGTCAAGGAGACATTATTGTTTGCTGCCCCTCTGAGTGAAAGGAAGCAGCACCTAGATTAGCTGACTAGCTGGCTCAAGGTGACTCAGGTAGGTTCAGCCAGGCCCAGCCTACTGCAGTACTTGGTCCTGGGGGAGGAAGATTCAGTGGGTGCCGAATGCATTGCAAGTTCTTAGGGAGAATTGTGCTTTGTTACTGCTACTAGAATCTGTGAGAGCTCATAATGAACTCATCCTAATAAACAACATGACAGCAGCCCCAAAAGTATCTCACATTTCTAACTCCTATTGTCTTGCTTCAACCTACACCCCAGACAAAGAACCACAAAATATTTAGTGCTGTGAGTAGGACAGAAAGTTAGGAGTGATGTCCTTTACCCTTCCAGCATGACATTCTGGAGTGTGGTATGCACAGTGGCTACTGTGTATATTCCCTGATGTGTATCCAGGAGTAGACGGGATGCCTACTAAAGTTGACAAGGCTCTCCAATCACTGATTGATAACTTGGGGTTGGGAAATAAAAATAGTATGCATCCAGCCAAGCAGATGGTCCTCCTAGAGGCCCTCCAGAGGAGTCATTAAGAAAAGCCAGATTGGCTATTAGTTGGTGTGGTGGTTAAGGGCACTGGTCTCCCACATGGCTGACCACTGTACAAGTCCTGTACCTCATAGCTTGCTTTCTCACTTTACCTCACTTGCTCTTGCTGTGTCCTTCTCTGCTTAAATTTAAATAAATATATAAATATAAAAATTTTTTAAATCCAGAAACGTGCAGGAACTACAACCAAAGAAAGCAGCAAATCATGTGGGTTAAATTATGCTAGAAGAACTCAGAACGAATAAGGGCACCCTGAGTATGCTGTGAAGATGAGACTTAAAGTTGACAAAAGAAGCTCTTAAGGAGCTGGTATGCAAAACCTGGAGCTTGAGTTTAATGTGGTTGAGGACATCCTGAGTGACAGATTCTCCAGGTCCTAAGAAGTAAGACTATTCCTTGACCTGTTGTATAGCAGAGGGTGAAGCAATTGGCAACGGGTGGGATTCCACAATGTTCCCATGGAATTACTGAGTTCACTACATATGTGCCATGTACTTGGGCTGAGCTGTTACTCTTGGGTACACAGTACCAATGAGCTGCTCAAAGTCCTCTTTCAGGAAGGGGCATCCCCTGAGGGTGGGTTGTTTCCTGGACACGTACCTTCACACATCCACTGGAGAATTTTACTTGCAAGGGTGTTTGATAAAAGGTATCATAAGGGGTTATGCCAAACACCCCCCTCAAATGTTCTCTACACCCAGGTGGGTGATGAATGTTACCAAGAGGACATGATGAGATTATTGACACAATTTGTAAGCTGGAAAACATAAAGGTTATCAGACTTACACAGTTTTTTTGTTTTGTTTTGTTTTTTGTTTTTGTTTTTGAGAGGTTTTTGCTATAGGGAGCATGTGCTCACCAGAAAGGCAGAGACAGAGAGACAAAGTGAGAAATCACCCCCCCCCCCAGGGAGGATGACCATGCTGCAATCCCTTGTCCATTCTCTTCTCTTGATCTTGGGCACACACCCGGCATGAGTTTAAGCCACTGGGTCCAGGACTCAAACTGCAGTTGACTACATGGGAGTTAAGTGACATAGCCATTATGCTAACTACTGGTCCCGAGACTTACACATAGTCTTTTAACTCTTCATTCTGACCATTGAAACTGGATGTTCCTTGGAGAATGTGGAGAGTGTTAAACTGAACAGAGTAGTTCCCCTTTTCATGCAGCAGTGGCACTTACACTTGTGATCATGGGCGAAGACAACCAGAGTAGGGTAGTTTTGTTACAGTAATGATGTGCTATTAACCTCAGGTTCTCTGGCAAATCTAAAGGGAGCTGCCACCCAAGTCAGGGGCCAGGCTTGTCAGTCAAGTTTTCTTTTTTTTTTTCCCTAAAGAATTATTTATTCATTTTCATCAAACAGAGAGGGACAGAGCAAGAGCCGGGGGTGGGGGTTGAGAAAGCAAGGTGCCTGATCGACGACTCAATCCATAGTCGTCCATGTGCAAGTAGATCTCTCTTAACCACCACTTCACCAAGTGTTCCTGGCTTCTAAATATCTGATGCATGAAGCTCAGACTTTGCTTTTGATAGACTCAGATAAGGCATTTGAGTACTGGTGTTGGATAGACCTTATAACAGAGAAGTGGATGTCTGTGTTTCAAAACGTGGTTGGGGAGGGGGACCAGCAGTTAGCATAATGGCTATGTCACTGGACTCCCATGTAGTTGACTGTGGTTTGAGTCCTGGACCCGGCAGCTTAAACTCATGCCAGGCGTATGTGTGTGCCTGCTCAAGATCCCGAGAGGAGAATGGAGAAGAAGGGATTGTAGTGTAGCTATCCCCCCGGAAGGTGATTTCTTGCTTTCTGTCTCTCTGACTCTCTCTCTATTTCTGGCAAGCACACGCGCCCTATAGCAAAAACCTCTCAAAAAAAAAAAAAAACATGGCTAGGGGAATTCTGGTCACAATTATAGAAAAAACTAAGGTCTGGTATCTTGTTGAGAAGCAGTTGGCACTAGTGTGCACCATTACTGATTGCCTCTGCACCTACAACCACTGTCAGCCCTGTGGGATCCAGCACCTTAGCCACCATGCCAAGTGCTTGTATTTCTTTCTTTCTTTCTTTTTGTTTTTTTTTTTTAGAGAGAGAGACATTTCGGTTTGAGTGCATACATTCGTTGAAGAAAGATAGAGACAGAGAGCAACAGATAACCTCCACATGGACTTACCACGCTGCAATCCCTTCTTCCTCAGTCTCCTCCTGGGATTTTGGACACACGCGCACATGCTCCCAGCATGAGTTTAAACTACCAGGCCACAGGCTTGAACTGCAGTTGACTGTGTGGAAGTCCAACAACTTAACCATTATGTCATCTGCTAACCTCACAGTGACTGTAATTGACCATGAGGTCTCACTGCTCTTGTCATACAATTGAGCCAATCACTGCTATGGAGGAATCCTCCCTATTGCCCTTAAAGTTGTGATTTAAATTTCTTAAAATGTATTTGTAATATTTCTTTTAGTTTGCTATAGGATTCGTGGTGGGGTAGGGAGGTGGAGAGAAAGAGAGAAAGCACCTGGTGGAGGGAATTGGCATGCTGCCATCCCTCTCCATTCTCCTCTCAAGACACCATGTTTGGGACCTGAACCCTGCAATTAACCATTTGGGATCCAGCTGGCTTTACCGCAGCACCTCAGCTAGTCCTATATTTGTCATCTTTTGTTTAAAATCATCCATCAATCTGACACATCTGGCACGGAATATTTGGGGCAACCTGAATTTCTCTCATCTCAGTAATTTTATTGATGGCCCAAATGTTTACTGCAGTTCCTTTGCTTTGGCCTTTCTTCTTTGAGAAATGCTTTGCCATAGGGCATGTGTGCTGGCCAGAAACACAGATAGATAAATTGAAAAATCACCCCCAAAGAGGGATGGCCATGGCACAATCCCTCATCCACTCAAGATTTTGAGCATACTTGCACATGCACTCCACATGAGTTTTAAGCTGCTGGGTCTAGGATTCTAACCGTAGTCAGCCATTTGGGAATCCATTGTCTTAACCACCACAAAACCACCTGACCCCGCCTTGGCTTACTTCTCAGAGATCCTTTCTGAAAAAGTACTGTCAGATATGGTGTGAGGAATCCATGACCATGCAGGGGAGAGATGTCCTTATATCAAAGTTGATGACCCCTGGAGGATATGTGTCTCTTCCACCTGTTTCAACGTAGCCTTGCCTGGGCGCCCCTACTGCTTTGAGGCTGGAGGATTGCCCCCATTGGAGACAGAATCTTATGATAGGAGCTCAATGTGATCTTGTTCAAGTGGAAAAATCAGGAAGGCGCCATTGAGTTCAGGAAGACTTGGGCGTGTCTCCTCTGGATTCCCAGGAGCAGGTTCTGCTGAAATGTAAATATCTTCCCAGGTTAGACAGGTTTAAGGGCAGTTCAAGAAACTGCCATTCCCATCTAGTCCTGCACTTTTCTGAGTGCTTCTGTTGTCAGTCAGCATCAGAGGGCGGAGTCTGTTGGATTGCCAATCAGGGACAGAAGGGCGGGGCGATCTATTCGGGGTTAGAGGCGAGACATTGAAATCTCGCGAGTTTTCAATGTCTCATAAGTGCTCGGAGGGCTTCTGGGGTTCTCTTAGCGTGCATGGAGTCCGCATGTGCTTGGTGGCTGCTCTGACTCTGTGACGTGCCAGACGGGGACAGGGGCCTGTAGGAGGGACGCAGGGACCCCCTGGAAGCTGAGACATGGTGAGTGCGGGGCCGGGGTCCGAGATGGGGAGGAGGGGCGGTGGGGACCGGCTGGAACCGGCTGTGGAGAACCAGGGCTGCCGGGTCCACGCCCGCCTCCGCGCCCGGCGCAGCTGGGTCCTCGTCCCCTCTTCGGGGCAGGGCTGGGTGGGCGTCCTGTCCCGTCCCTGCGCGACCTGGGCCTCGGGCCGGCGCCCTCTCTTATAGTCGACCCCCGGCAGCCCCGCGTGTCCCTGGATGTGGGTGAGGACGGGATGGTCACGTGGGGCCCCAACTAAGTATGTGGGTCCCCAGGCCTGTCCAGTCCCTCTGTCACAACACTCAGAATCTGCCTTGGGAGAACAAGCTTATAGGGGATACCCTTATGGAGGTGATTTCTAACTTTCTGTTGAGCTCATTTAGCCCACCTAAGATAAATTTTAAAATATTTTTTTTTTTTAATTTTAGGGACCAGCAGATGACATAATGGTTACATCACTGGGCTCCCACATCAACCGGGGTTCTATAGTGACGCGGGGTGGGTGTGCATGTGTACCTAAAATCCTGAAGAGCATGGAGGAGAAGGGATTGTATTGTGGGGTGAATTCTCACTTTCTGTCATTCTATCTCTACAGGGCTCAAATGCCCTTTGCAAAAATTTCTCTAAAAAGAGCAAAATTTGGGGCCAGCAGGTGGCGTGCTGGTTAAGGCGTTGGAATTCCCACATGGCTGACCAGTGTTTGAATCCTGGACCTGGCAGCTTGCTCCCTCATCCTCTCTCTCTTTCTCTCTGCCTGTCTTATCTCATGTGAAATAATAATAATGATAGGTAAACAAAATAAATATTTCTTTGAAAAAAAAAAAAGAGCAAAATTAGTGCAGTTAGAATCAAATTAAATAGGTTGTCTTTTTTTTTTTTTAAAGCTTATTTATTTACACAGAGACAGGAAATAAGGCAACCAAAGAGGATTTTTTTTCTCCTACCCTAACTTCATCCCTGCAGGCATTCAGGGTTACTGGCTCCCCCTGATTGTTCAGGTAGACCTTGGATATAATTCTGGACCCTTACCATATGGTATAGCACTACCTGGCAGCACTTCTGCCTGCCCCTGGCTGCCAGGCCTCAATCTGCTTTTTAACCCTGGTGACTTAGGGTTACTGCCAGTGTCTTAGGTCATTTTAAAATACTTCCTCATGTATTTTAATTTGGGTGTCAATATATTTTAGCCTCTCAGAAGCTAATGCCACCCAACACATTTTTTTTTTGGAGAGGTTTTTGCTATAGGACGCATGCGCTTGCCAGACAGACAGAGACATAGAGACAGAAAGTGAGAAATCACCCCCCAGGGGGTATGGCCACGCCGCAGTCCCTTCTCCTCCATTCTCCTCTCGGGCACACACGCACATGCATCCAGCGTGAGTTTTAAGCCACCGGGTCCAGGACGCGAACCGCAGTTGACTACGTGGGAGTCCAGCGACATAGCCATTACGCTAACTGCTGGTTCCCCCACCCAATACATTTTTGATGTTACTATTTTGAATGAACATTGATTAGAACTGCTAATTATAGAGTGATTTCCTGCTGTGATCTTCCACTAGTGGTGTACTTACTACTCAAGCAATCTGGATATTTGCGGCATATCACAGGCTTGAACCTGTCACACCAGGCATACATGGCTGAGGTTCTTCCTAGTGAATGGCATGATGGGGAGATGGCAGTATAAAAACATGTTGACAATGTCTTTCTCTACCATTCTGCCTGTCACTGTCTCTGCTTTTCACTGTTATGAAAAATACTTTTTTCCTTTTTCAGTTCTTTCCCATAGGGCACATGCACTTGCTAGAGAGAAAATGTGAAAGGGAAATTGAGAAACCACCCTGAGGGAGTATGGCCACACCCCCATTTCTTCTCTTCCATTCTCCTCAGCATTTGGGGCACGCAAGCACATATGTTTGGTATAATTTTCAAGCTGAAGGTCCTGGGCTTGAATCATGCTTGGCCATTTGGTAGTCCATCACCATAACCATCATGCCACCTGCTGTCCTGAAAGAAATGTCTTCTAAATAAAAATATGAAAGTATAAGAAAAGAGTTTTGGAGGAGAGACCCTTATGTCAGATCTTCAAAGATATCCTAGACACCGTGAAACATACACACAGAACAAGTTGCAAGCAAGACCTGCTCTAATCTCTCAAATCAGTGACATTTTTGTACATTGGAATTAAGGACTTGTGTCATTAAACTGCCACTTGCCTATGAGGAGGTGTGATGAGAACAAGTGAAACTCCCAGGAAGCTTTTCCATCATTTCACATGCTTTTTTCTTGACCTTGTATTGAATAGAGAAAGAAAAACCTCACTCTCTCTTAATATGCACTCAGGTTGCAATGGACAGGGAAGAATTGTGTCACTGTTGTCACAATTTGCCTTCCCTTTTTGATTATTTGCCAGAGCAGCTCTCAAAACTCAGGGAAGCATTGTTTACATTTGCTACTATATTATCATGGACAGTACAGAGGATACACATGAAGAATTACAGAACCTCCATGCCCTCCAGAGTGTGCCATTCTCTAGGAACCACATGTGTTGCGCTACATGGAAAACCTCCAAACCCTGTTTTAGGTTTTTTATAGAAAGTGCACAGCACGGCCACATTAGAGTCATGACTGACCTTGAAGAAATGGGATAGGCCTAATGGGTATGCTGTCATGTTTATAAGTGTGCTCTTTCTGTCCACATCACTTCCTCCTGTATAAAGGGCAGGATCCATCTGGAATCAGAAGCTTAAAGTCAAGGGAAGATGAGAGTACCTGGAGCCCACCTTAGGGCTGCTTTTCATCAGGAGATGTTCACACTGAACTTAGAATCACCTGGAAAACTCAAACGTCAGACGGAAGAAAGCCAAAAAAAATAATAAATAATAATAATAATAAAAAATAACAACCATTAAAAGGGTGCTTTTTGGGGGTTAAGACACAGTGGTTTCTAAATATTCTCCTTTCCTTCTACTTATTTACCTATCTACTTTAAGAATTATTTTATTTAACTTTTTTTATTTATTTACTTATTTTAGTTTGACCAGAGAGTGACAGAGGGAGTGAAAGGGAGAGAGAAAGCAAGCCACCAGGTTCAGGACTTGAACCATGGTCAACCATGTGGGAGTCCAGCACCCTTAACTACTATGCTGCTTGCCAGCTCCCCTTTTTTAGTTTTTTAAAATAATTGTTTTATTTAACTTTATCTATTTATTTTCATTTGACCAGGAAAGGATGGAGTGAGTGAGAGAGTGAAAAAGAAGCTGCCAGGTCTAGTATTTGAACCACAGTTGGCCATGTGGGAGTCCAGTGCCCTGAAGCACCACACCACCTGCTGGCCCCATTCTTCTATAGAAAGTTGGTGATAGGAAAGCATACTAATAATCTCCCTCCAATGGACTCTAAGTTGTATTTTACTAATGTAACTGATTAACATTTTAAACCTTCTCTAAAGTGCAGATACACAATAAATTCTCTAGAAAGAGATTGCTGGAATGTAATTTGTGGCAGTCTACAGAAAATAGCAAAAGGGTATGTCATGGAACTCTCCCACACATGTGTATAATTATTTGTTCTCTGTGATCCTGGACACTTGCATTCTCTAATTGAAATCTAGAATCAGTATGAAATATCCTGCTTTATTCATTTCTCCTTTGTCTAATAACATTTTTACATTTGGGATATTTTTATCCTCTATACTGTAATTTTTTTTTTTTTTTGAGACATTATATGGTGTGTGCGCTCACCCTACAGACAGACAGCAGTAAATTACCACCCAGTAATGACGGCCATACCACATCCCTGCTGGTTTATTCTCCTCTTAGGGTTTTGATCATGCACTCACATGCTCATGTTCAGGCCACCTGGCCAAGGATGTGGACAACAGTTGTTCATGTGAGAGTCCAGTGATGTCAACATCATGCCATCTGCTAGTTCCTACTGTATGTATATCTGAGTATTCATGTTTTTGAATTTGCCAGTCCTGTTTTCCATGGCTTGCTCTTTACCTGACAGGATTTCCTCAACCCTTACATGAAAAATGCATTTACTGGGAACCAGCAGTTAGCGTAATGGCTATGTCGCTGGACTCCCACGTAGTCGACCGCAGTTCGTGTCCTGGACCCGGTGGCTTAAAACTCACGACGGGCGCGTGTCTGCGTGCCCAAGATCCCGAGAGGAGAATGGAGGAGAAGGGATTGCGGTGTGACCATCTCCCCTGGGGGGTGATTTCTCGCTTTCTGTCTCTATGTCTCTCTTTGTCTGGCGAGCACACGCACCCTACAGTGAAAATCTCTCCAAAAAAATAAAAATGCATTTACTTGTGTCTCCTCAGATGTTCACTCTTACTGTTGTTTTGTTTTTTGCATTGGGCTTGTGTAGACTCACTAGCACAGAGAGAAGTCAATCCCCAGGGAGGATGGCGTATCACAGTCTTTTCTCCTTCACTCCCCTTTTGGGAGTTTGGGGGACATATGCTGGGTGTTGAGTTTGATTTTCAAGCTATTCTTTTATGGAATCAAACCACACAACTCTCTATGTGGTATTCAATACTTTAATGTCTACATGTCCTGCTGGGCTAAAGTGTTGACCTTTCTTAGATACAAAAAAACTTGATAAACACCTGTTTCTTTTTTTTTTTTTTTTAATTTAACTGAGTTATTTATTTCTGTATGCATGTATGTATGTATTTAATTTGATCAGAGAGGGACAGAGTGAGTGAGAGAGGGAAAGTGAGAAAGCAAGCTGCTGCGTCACACACTTGAACCACAGTTGTCCATGTGGGAATCGAGTACACTTAACCAACACGCCACTTGCCACCTTCGTTCACCTGTTTCTTAATATAAGCAATAATGATATTGTCCACTCTAAAGTACTTGGGTAAGACTTTGGTATTACGGGTATTACAGTGCATGGGGGAAATGCCACATCTCAATCCCTTCTCCTAGTCGCCACATGGGATATTGGACATGTATATCCACACGTGCACACACACACGACCTTCTGGGTTTTTTGTTTTTTCAATATTTTTTCTTTATACCCTAGACATTTGTGGGTGATTTTTGGGAATTATTTTATTTAGCTTTATTTTTTCTTGGAGAGCTTTTCACTATAGGGCGCATGCTCTCGCCAGAGAGACATAGAGACAGAAAGCGAGAAATTACTCCCAGGGGGGATGGTCACACCGCAATCCCTTCTCCGTTTTCCTCTTGGGATCTGAGGCACGCATGCACACGCTCCCGGCATGAGTTTTAAGCCACCGGGTCTGGGACGTGAACCGCAGTCAACTACGTGGGAGTCCAGCAACATAGCCATTACGCTAACTGCTGGTTCCCTAGCTTTATTTTTTAAATTCTTTTCATTTTACCAAAGAGGAACAGAGTAAGAGAGAAAGAGAAAGGACACAGAAGACCAAAAGTAAGAAAGCAAGCTGCCAGGTCCAGGACTCAAACAGTGGTCAGTCTTGAGAGAATTCAATGCCCTTAACCACCACGCAACCTACTGGCCTCAGACTCGCAGGATTTTTGAGTTGCTGGTTTAGGCACATGAAACCAGAGTCAGCCATTTTGAATCCTCTGCCTTAAACACCACACCACTGGCTGTCCCCAGTTTTAATGTTGTAAATGTTTTTTGTTTAAAGATGATTGACACAGATAAAGAATTCTGATGAGTGAAGTATAAAACAGCATTCTGTGAACTTGTTATAATTGAAGATATCTTCCAAGCGCTATCATTCTCAGCTTTCCTTCACACATGTTACAGGACCCTGTCGCCTTTGAGGATGTTAGTGTGAACTTCACCAAGGAAGAGTGGGCTTTCCTGGATCCTTCACAGAAGAAACTCTACAGAGATGTGATGTGGGAAACCATTAAGAACCTGCACTGTGCAGGTAAGGATGACAACATTCTCTCACTTACTTAATTGAAGAACAAGTGTTTCCTAGTGACTGGTGCTTTTCTAAAGTTTTCAGTAAGGAAAAGGAAGGTTTTTTGTGAACAAATCAGACAGGTTTACAGTTTACCTTAACCCTGAAATCTAATTTATTTAGTACATTTGTAATAATTCCTAGATATTTGTGGTTCTGTATTTCAGGAAGAAACTTGGGAGAGCAGAATCTTGACTATCAGTATCAAAATGCCAAGAAACACCTAAGGTAATTTGTACTCAAAGAGAGAAGCAATATCCATGTTAAGGCCTGTCATGAAATTTTCCAGAGGGGGGGGTTAAAAAAATACATATATGTATACACACACATACACACACACACACACATTTCAAGCTCACTTTATTCCTATAGAATTTCTCCAAAAATATGTACTGAAATGTGACAAAGATTTGGTGATTGGGATCAGAAAACGGCGTAATGGCTATGTCGCTGGACACCCATGTTGTTGACTGTGGTTTAAGTCCTGGACCTGGTGGCTTAAATTCACATCAGACGCATGTGTGTGCGTGTCCAAGTTCCTGAGAGGAGAATGGAGGAGAAGGGATTGCGGTGTGGCCATCCCTCCTGGGGGCTGATTTCTCACTTTCTGTCTATCTATGTCTTTCGCGAGTGCATCCACCCAAAAAAAAAAACCCCTAAAAAAAAAAAAAAAAAAAAAAACAATTTGGTGGTAGTTAAGGTGCTGGACGTTCCCTATGGCCAACCATGGTTTGTGTCACTGGTCTGGTAGCTTCCTTTCCCACTTTTTTTCTCTCTACTTAGGTCTCTCTGATAAAATTAAAAAATAAATAAATGGGGGACCAGCAGGTGGCATGGTGGTTAAAGTACTGAACACTCCCACATGGCTGACCACGGTTCAAGTCCTGGACCTGGTGGCTTGCTTTCTTACTTTCTCTCTCTCTCTCTCTCTCTCTCTCTCTCTCTGTCTCTCTCCTCCTATGGTCAAATTAAAAAATAAATGAATGAATAAATTTTAAAAATATAAAATAAAATAATTCTTAAAAAATTAATAAATAAAATTAAATAACTAAAATTGGTGATTACAAAACAGTTTATATGAAAATAGTATTTAATAACTGCATATGGCCTTGGCTGGTGGTTTGCCAGTTAAGTCAGATGGATCTCACATTGATGAGTTTATGTTTATAGACCCAAACCTGATTCCATAAAACACAAACTGGGTGTGTGTACTTACAAGCCAAAAAACCAGAGGATAGAATGGGAAAACATTCAATGCTTATGTTCATACCCTGGGGAGTGATTTATTACTTTTTCTCTCTATCTAATCTCCACCAAGCACACACGCCCTTTTGTAAAACTACTTTATAACTTCTTGTAGAACCCATATAAAAATTTTACTTGTTCAAACAGTTCAGTATCAGGGACTAGCAGGTGGCATGGTGGTTAAGGTGCTGGACACTCCCACATGGCTGACCACGGGTCAAGTCCCTGGACCTGGTGGCTTGCTTTCTCACTCTCCCTCTCTCTCTGTGTCTCTCTTTGGTCAAGTTAAAAATAAATGAATGAATGAATAAAATTAAATAATTTTTTAAAAACCAGTTCAGTATCTAATTCTATATGTTGCTGTGATAAACCTATAGTAGATACTTAGTCCTTTTTGTTGCTGCCGTTTATTTTTGCTATTAGGCATGCCCTCTTGCTACAGAGGGGAGAGAGAACAAAAATGGTAAATGACTTCCTAAAAGGGGAAATCCACACCGCAGTCCTGTATTTTCAGATCTCTTTTCATGAGTTTGAGCATGCATTCACATGCCCTTGGCTTGATTTTCAAGCCATCAGTCCAGGACTAAAGTGCAGCAGGGTGTGTGCAAACTAGCACCTTGCCCTGCATGCCACCAACAGGCCCCATCCCGTACTTATTTAATAAACAAGTATTAGTCCTAAAATCCATAGTAATGTGCTTATCATTGTTTACAGAGGTCATATACCAAAGAGACCGTATGAAC